GGGATGGATGAGGAATCCGAACGGACCAAGCGCTGGGAAGGAGGCTACGAGAGAACATGGTAGGCTGTCCCTTTCCCCGCCTCGCCACCTTCTTGGTGAACGACGAGAAAAATCACCCTTCTGCTCAGTTACGATCTGTTTTGCTTAGGGAAATTCTTAAAGAAGATGAATCCGGATCGCTGAAAGCCACCATCGAGGACATCCTTTTCAAGGCAAAGAGGAAAAGGTATTATTTGTTGCCACGAGCCTGCTGATAATACTGGTTTAGTCACTTACAAGGACTTAATCATTATGAAACTGGGATCTCTAGGTAGAGTAAGCATATCAGCGTGCCTGCAATATATTTTTGTGTCCTTACCCCTTCTGAGTTCCAGATGCATGCTTCTTGCCTGCTGCTTATTAATTGTGCCAAAAAAACCCTAAAATTTATTTTTAGCTTTAATCTTAAGACTGAATGTTAGTTTTAGTATCCTGGCACCAGATTTGTGTTTCAAATGGTAAAAAAAATTGCTAGATTAAATCTAGATTTGTTTTATTTCAGTTTATGTTAAAATATTCAAATTTGAATAAAAATCTAAAGTTCTGTTAAACCTGGTAGTAAGAAATACTTTTTGTTTGTTTTCTGAGAGGCAGGAAATCTATTTGTAATTGAATTGTCTTCTTTTCAGTGTAAATAAGTGTGGTTTGTTGTTGCTTCATATTTGCCAGAAGCCTAGTATTGTATTGGTTCCAGATTTTTGCTTTAGGAACAATTCATTCATTTACATCTTACTTAAATCCTTTTGTGTTTTATTAGACTCTATGATCATCAAGGACAAGTTCGACTTGGAATGGTATGTTAATGTCTTAAGCTTTGTGTGTCCTGCATCCAAAACTACTTGAATAGAGGCAGTGTGCCAGATCTGAAATACACTTTTGCTGACTTAATGTGTGTGGGACCAAAGCTTGCATTTTCCACCAAACTTTGTGTTTTTTTTTTAAACATTCTTTGTTCTTTGGCAGGGTGGGATGCAGAGCATGAGTATTCAGAGGTGGAGGTTTGGCATGTTCACTGTACCAGGGTGTGTTTTTCAACAGCAGTCAGATGACACACACCCATGCTGTCGATTTTTAATTTATGTGAAAAATGGGCATAATTTAAATGAGTTGGAAGTAACAACACTACTTTATACAACACTGAGCTCTTCAAATGAAGCGCTGAAGGTGCACACTATGCATATTTTGTAGCTTATCGTGAGAGAAAAAGAACAGTGTGCATTTTTCAAGATACTCCTTTTTTTCATTTTGAAGGAAAAGTGAAAAAATGCATTACTTTTTCAGTTGCTGTTGATTGCATAGCTCAGTATACTGAATTTTCCCTGTTTGAGGGAGGAAGTAGTTGCTTTTTTAAGTAAACGGAATATTGAGCAGTTCGTTTAAATATTTGTTCTGTGAGTGATTATCACTTATGGTGAAAATGCAGATGCGTCACCTTTATGTGGTTGTTGATGGATCAAGAACTATGGAAGACCAAGATTTAAAACCGAACAGACTTACTTGCACTTTGAAGGTACTCAGAAGTTTTCTGTTATTAATCACTGTTTCCCTGTAAACCAGTTCCGTTTTGCATTTAAAAGAATGGCAGTCTTCTGTGAGTAATTACATGCATAGCCTCATCTCTCCTCTCAGACCTACTTTTTTTGTCTTGTTTCTGTTGTTACTCTGTAATTTTCCTGTTTTTTGAATAGTAAAATCTGTGTGACAGTAGTTTGCCTTGTATGAGTACTTCTGTACAGTAAAAACACTTTCTAAGGACATATTATGGAAAGACATGTTATGAAAATTATGTGGAAATTAAGCTGAAGTGTTGCCTGTAATAAGGGATGAAAGAAGAACAAACATACTTTCATTAGACATCTAGGTTGTTTTTTTTCTTACAGTTGTGTTTTGATGAATTCTGGTTGAATGGAGGCTAGACAGGAGTTGAATTGGATTGCTGCTTCAGACTGTAAAGGACTTGAACTGTACATCTTGTACTATATGGTCTTTTTTAACAACACTAAGCATTGAAATCCTGGGTTTTCTTAATTTTGTACTGATTAGTGCTTTTTGGTGTATTGTAAACCTCTATTTAGAACAAACAGTAATCTAGAACTTCAAATTTACAAGTGAATAAAATAAGGGGTGGCTAGTTTCTGAAATTGACATTGCATTGGTTACATGGGAGGAAGAACTCAATTCCCCCCCCCCCTTTTTTTTTTTTCAATCATACTTGATGTTTTCAGAATACCACCAACTTAATGCATATGGAATAAAACTGTATTTAGTTTTTAATGGTCTTAACTTTTCTTCATAGTTATTGGAATATTTTGTTGAAGAGTACTTTGACCAAAATCCTATTAGTCAGGTATGTACAACCATGCAAGAAATAAGTAACTGAAAGGTATTTTAAAAGTTAATTTTAAGTTTTAACACTATCTAGTGTGAACCTCATGAGGTTCAACAAGGC